TGTCGGCAATCAGGCTGGAGAGGCGTGCCACATCCCATCACCGTTGTTTCCCCGAGAAGTAGAGCTGAGTGCCCTGTGCTCGTGGGACAAAAACACACACACCCAGTCACCAGGAAGCACCTGTTACCCTCTGAAGGGCTGACCCGGGTGTCACGTGGGCTCGCACATGTGGCCAGGGCATCTTGTGGCTGTGGACTCACATGCCCAAGCCTGGGGGCCATGAGCCAGAATCCACATTGTCTCAAATGGGAAAAGCCACGTGTAGAGCCCGGGTCAGCGTGTGTGCATTCAGCATGGGCCCCACGCTCAACCCAGGACTTAAGGCAAGGGGCACACGGTGTTCCCCAAAGGCACCTGGGGGACTGAGGTGGGGCTGAAGAGCCATCGTCAACCCTCTCCCGAAGCCTTAAAGACTTTCCCTCCCATCCTTGTAAAGGAGGCTGTGGGGGACAGGCGAGCTCATTCACCCCTTCCACAGATGAGAACACAGCTCATGGTGTGACTCGCCTTGCCCACATGGGGAGTATGTAAATCTGGTGAAAACAACAACAACAAAAAATACATACGATCCTTCTGCTGCCTCCCCACCCCACCCCACCCCCCGCCAAGAAAAGCAGAGGCTTACGGGGCTCCCCACATCCTCACAGCTGTACTCTCGGTCTTCCGCCTGTAGGACTTTTTTGGCCTTCACAACCCTTTGTCTTTCGGTCTCCCCGGCTCCAAGGGGGAAAACTCTGAGAAGACAGAGCCTGGCCTTTTTCCCCCCTGCTAACCATCCTGGGACCATGTGTGGCATTTTGAACCAGTTAGCAAAAATCTGTTGATGAGCACGCAAAGAAGTAATCCCAACCATCTAACCAGTTGGATCACATCTTGGCATTGTGTCCAAGGGAACAGATGTTCCTATTCAAATCCACGAAACTGGAAACACGAAAAAGCAACAATCATGACATTGATTGATGGGGAGACGGACTGGGCCCGACTGTGTAAGTGAGCGTGGCTCCGGGCGAGGCGGGCGCCTGCATTCTGATCGAAGAGATCCTCGGACATTTCAGTAACGTCACTTGACCCAGATCCTCCTCCTCCCTTCGTGTGCTGTTTAATATTTCCTCGCCAGAAGGCACCCGTTCATGTGGATTTCACACTCAGAGCCTCCCCTTCCTGAGCAAACAGCACCTCTGGGTACCGGGGAGATATTTTTGATCTGTTGGAAGAACACTAAGGGGCCCTGGTGGCGGGGTGGTTCAGCGCCCGGCTGCGAGCCAGAGAGGTTGGCAGTTCAAGCCACTGCTTCCTCTCCAAAAATTGCTACCCCCACACCCAACCACTGTTGTCTAGCCGAAGCTGAGATCTAGGGACCCTAGAGGACAGCCTAGAACTGCCACATCTGTCTCCTGCCGAGCGGCTGGTCCACCTTTCAGACTGCAAGCCACGCGGTTAACCACGCGGCCAACCAGGGCTCCTAGGAAACTGCTCCAGAGGGCAGTTCTCCTTTGTCCAGAGCGGCTATGCACAGAACCAACTCGACCACAACAGCTTTGGGATTTCTTGGGGTGAGAAAATAGTTTGGGCACCCAGCAGCAGGCAAAGCGAAGCTGGAGTGTGGCCTGTCTCGGTGGGTGCACTGGCTGCATTCATTTCCCAAGCCCCTGAGGGAACAGCTGGCCATCCCTTCCCATCATCCCCCTCTGCTCAGAAGCCTGTCACCACGAGAGCAAACGCATCTGACCATGACACGGTCTGTCTCCTCTCCAAACCCAGGTCCTCCATGGGGGCTCCCACCTCACTGACCGGAGCGTGCACCAGGCGGCAGGCCACCAGCCTGTGGGAGATGCTGATGGGCCTGTCCCGGGGCATCACCCTCACTGCGGTCCAGACGGCGAGCAGGAAAGACAGCCCGGCCCCGCTGGCCCTGGAGGAGAGCGAACTGGAAGAGCAGTTTGTGAAAGGACACGGCCCAGGGGGCCAGGCCACCAACAAAACGAGCAACTGCGTGGTGCTGAAGCACATCCCCTCGGGCATCGTGGTGAAGGTAGGGGCTGAGGAGGAAGATGGCTGGGGGCAGGGGGGGTCTCCACCTACACAGTTTTGCAGAGGGAGTCTGGAACCAGACTAAGCTGTGTGACCCTGGACAAGTGGCTCAACCCCCCCAGGCTCCAGTGTCCCCTTTTTCAACTGGAGGTTCCTGATGCCGGTCTCTCAAAGGCCTCTTACAGTTACAAGTTGCTAACCTGTGTCAGCCACCTTTGAGGCGCTGGCTGCTCACAGAAAGGCCGGCCGAGCCCATATTAGCAACTCCACCCTGACGGCGGAGTGGTTATGCATTGGTTATGCTACTTCGTAACCCGCAGGCTCAGCAGTTCAAAATCAGCACCACTCCATGGGAGAAAGAAGAGACTATCTATTCCCAGAAAAGAGCTATAGTTTCTGAACCCCCGGGGATGATTCTGCCGTGCCCTATAGGGTCGCTATGAGTCCGCACCGACTCGCTGGCAGTGAGTTGGGTGAAGCATGGGCAACCTGTTGCTGTGAAGATACAGGTGAGAAAGCCTCGGGTTGCTGTGGGGTACCGTCTCACAGCAACCGAGTGGAAACCCCGCTCACGGGTGTCCGTACGTTGGAGCCTGTGGTTGCAGCCACGGTGCCAGTCCCCCTCGTCGAGGGCTGCCCTCCGCTTCACCAGGTTCTGCTCCATCACACAGGGCCGCTAGGCGTTGGGCGGCAGCGTCAGACCACCACTGCCTACGCCAGAAGCGTGCGCTCTCAGGGCGACGAGCTTTGTATGAAATGACCGCAAGGACAGCCAGCTGCGATCTCAGGGCCCTGGAAAGGGGCGCAGCCTCACTGCCGGCTGGGTGCTTAGAAATATTTTCTCGTACCAAACCAAACCCGTTGCCGCCCAGTGGATTCTGACGCATAGCAGCCACCCTACAGGACATGGGAGAGCTGCCCCCCGCAGGGTTTCTGGGAGCCCTGGGCTTGGCTGCCACCCCAAAGGCCTCCTGAGGGAGGACAGGTGCCCCCTGCGGCTCACTCTGGTCCAAGCAGTAGAGGGCACTGACGAGCTGGTCCCAGGCCACGAGCCCCTCCTCCAGCCTTCACCATGGCCAGACAAGCCTCCAGTGCCCCGGCCCTGAGTCCTGGCCTGGGGACTCAGCCAGGTCAGGAAGCAGTGTGACCTAGCTCTACAGTGGGGGATGAAGGCAAGGACGCAGCAGCCAGCCTCCCACAAGCCACCACAGGCCCCGCCCAGCCCTCTGGTCAGCAGATTACCTTGAGGATAGTCACATCCTCCTGACCCTGCTGTCCTCCCTTAGATAAAAGCCAATAGCATGTCAGTCACCGGAAGAAGGCAGACAGCACACACAGCTGCTTGGAGCCTTCTTCCTCCTTTCGATAAACAACAGACCTCTGGTCAAAACAGCACCAGCTCCCAACCCATGCCCCACATCTGAGGGCAGTGTTCTCCCTGGTTTCCGTGTTGGAAAGGCTAGCCGTCTCTGCCACACCTCAGGGACAGTCAGAGCAGGACAGGCTTTGTGTACAGAGAGCTGCTAAGACAGAGGAAACCCCCGTCAGTCGCCCAATGGGTAAGCACTTGGCTGCTAACCAGAAAGCTGCTGGTTCAAAGCCACCCAGCGGCCCTGGGAGGAAGACCTGGCGGTCGCTCCATCAAGGTGAAACCCTGTGAGGCAGTCTGCCCTGTCACATGGTGTCTTGATGGCAGCCAACAAATAGACGATCCTAACACCAAATAACCATCATGACAATACGGAGGGCACCTGCACACGCACCAACTAAGCTCTCCCAGTCCTCACACTCCGCTCCCCCTTCCACTACGTCCATCCCAACGCCTAGCTGCCCTCGACGACAGAACTGCTCCCGAGGGCCTCCAAGACGGGAAGTCGTTCTAGCCAGCCACTCCAGTGACAGACATGTGCAATGTGAGGTGCAGGACAGTCTAGCAGCTTGCCCCCACGGTCATGCAGCCCCAAGGTCAATGTCCCTCACACCTACATTTTACATGCCAGGTGGTTTCTCTTTCTAGATTTTTCCTGCCAGGGTTTTGACCCTCCATCCTTTTCCTCTCCTCTGGAGCAGGGGCCGGGAGAAGGGGGATAAGAATGCTCATGCACACGCGGCAACCAAGATTTGGACACCCGCCATGGCCGTGACTCATTTCCACCGACCCTTCCTCTTTTACAGACCGTAACGCCACGTTTGCTGTGTACTGCTCTTGCCTTCTGGTGCTTCCACAGGATTCCTTTCAGCAAGAGACACCTCTCCTCAGTCTCTCTTCCTATTTGCAAGGCCCCTGCCCACAGGAATTAAGGGCACGCAATGAGTGGGACAGGCTTCTTTCCCACAGCCAGGGTAGCTAGCTGTGCCCCGCTGCAGACCAGGTGAGTCAGGCCGTACTCTCAAAAGCAGTTAGAGACTTCCAACAATCTGAAGTCTCCTGTGGCACCTAAAGTCCCAGGTGGAGCAAGCGGTTTGCACTCAGCCACTCACCTAAAGGTTGGCGGTTCAGAGCTACCTCCCAGAAACCCCTACGGGACAGTTCTATTCCGTCACACGAAGGGGGGGCGGACAGGAGTCACAACCGACCCCCTGGCTATCAGGCCTGGCTTGCTGGTGTTTGGATTCTTATTCCAGGCCAACAAGCACAGTCCTCTACTCTGAAAGGTGCCGTGGGTTAGGCCTTGAACACGCCAGGCAGTGGGTCCAGCTGATGAGAAAGCTGCAGGACAAAGGTGAAGCTGGCTGGCCCAGAAAGATTTTCAGTCTGTCTCGGCAACCGTACCGGGCTCACTGTGACTCAGGACTGGCTCAGTGGCAGGAGGGAATTCTAAATCCCTCCATGCAGCCCGATGGCAGGACAGGGACAGGGCAGCAGGGTCGAGGCCCAAAGACTCCCATGTGGTTCTGTCAGCAAGCTGTGCAGCATCTTCAACCAGCGGCTTTGACGCCAGGCCTGTGAATTGGATCAGAAGGGCTCTTCCCTAAGGAGGACTTTTCAGACCCCTTGCCAGCTCCTCCTCCTCGTCCCCATCTGTGCACGCACGTGGTTCTCATACTCTAAAACATCCTCCTCTCTTACAGTGTCATCAGACAAGATCTGTCGATCAAAACCGAAAGCTAGCTCGGAAAATCCTCCAAGAGAAAGTGGACGTTTTCTACAATGGTGAGAACAGCCTGGCTTACAAAGAGAAACGAGAGGCGGAGAAGAAAAAGCAGGAAAGGAAAAAAAGAGCCAAGGAAACCCTGGAGAAAAAGAAGCTCCTGAAAGAACTCCGGGAAGCAGCGAGTGGGAAGGACGGCTGAGAGGGAGCGTGGACTCGCCCGGAGGCTCTTGGGACAGCGGTAGTGCGCCATCTCCAGTGCTAGCAGAGAGCTTTCAGTATTTTTTTTTTCGTACTTCAAGGACTGATTGTTGGCCTTTAGGAGTGTTTTCCAGTCCAGTCAGCTTGGGTACCATGCCCTGGCCCTGAAGTCCACCTCCAGCATTCCCCAGGGACCTCACCACTCCATTCCCTCGCTGTTCTGCTGCACCCCCTTAGTGTTTTGCCTCGGTGTGGCGGGGTCAGATCGGGCGCAATTCCCACACTGTGACTCCGGTGTTGTCCCCTGTAGGGCTATGGGTCAGCTTTTAGTATTTTTGACAGACTTAAAAGTCCTATTTGAAAAAAAAAAAATTTTTTTTAAAAGGACGAAATTGAACTCATGAATAGGGGCACTCCAGAGCACAGCTCTGACACAAGAAAAGTGATGATGCCATTTGGCGCGGGGTGGGGTGGTGGTGGGGGGGGGGTTGTGCAAGGGTGTGACTTGCAGGGATGGGCACACGGAGGGGTCTCTGAAGGTGACTGGGAAAGTCTCAACCTGCCTCAAGCTGTACCTGTATCTGTGTGAGTGCCTGCTTCGTTCTGTTGGTGCCATTAGGTGCCAGTGACTCGTGGTGACCCCAAGTGACAGGGCAGAAGTGCCCGCTAGGGTGTTCCAGGCGGTCATCAGTGTGGGAAGCACACTCAGAATGCTCCTGTGCTCCGAGGATGGTAAGACTTGGCCCTGTACTTTAGGCACGTCATCAGGAGGGACCCTTCCCTGGAGAAGGACATCTTACTGGGCAGAGGGTCAGCGAAAGAGAAAAGCCCTTCATGAACCGGACTGTCACAGTGGCCGCAACAGTGGGCTGAAAGACAGCAATGACGCGGGGATGGGCAAGGCCGGGCAGTGCTTCACGCTCTTGTACGCAGGGTCGCCAGAAGTTTGAATGGGTGGGTTGGCAGCCAACAACAGCCATCTCTACTGGATCTGATGGCCAGATCTTTTTTCCAGGGCACTGAGGGTAGGTTAGAACCACTCATCTTTCTGTGAGCAGATGGGCACTTAACCACTTCGCCACCAGGATACCTCGTTTTATTATAAAAAGAGGGAGGGCGGGTGTTGAAAAAAACCCTTGGGCTCCTTTGGTGGGGAGCTGTAGCCCCAAGTAAGGCAGGAATAGCACGGAGCAGCAGCCTGTCGCCTGCTAGAGCCCTCCGCCCAGGAGACGGCGCCGCCGCTGATTTCAGTGTCGAGAGAGTAGAAGAGAAAGTAAGGTAGAAAGATTCTAAAAGTGAATCACTTACTTGCCCATAGACCCCATTAGCTAATAAACTCTATAATAAAGTGCTACCGCTCCGGGATAGATATATTAATTCCCTGGATGTTGATTTGCAAACAGACTTAGATGAAGAACGTGAAATCCTGATTTTTCTGCAAACTTGCTTGAGACCATAATTTAACCAGATCGATCAGTCACAGTAAAAATACCACAGGAATTGAACTTTATCCCCCCAGACTATGGGTCATCTTGGCCGGGCCATGATTCCCAGCGGTTGGGGCCGGGATGTAATGATGTCATCTCTTCCCATGACATGACCAGCCAGTGGGCTGTAAAGGAGTTAAGGGTGGGTGGGGTGCAAAACCTTGACTCGGTCGCAGCCCTGATCATTCCCGTGAGGGCATTTCCCTGCAGTGAGGCCTGCATCCTGTCCTATCAGACGAGAGAAAGGTGAGCAGGGAGAGGGACCCACCACCACCCAGGAAGGAGAGCGCATCCTTCGGACTTAGTCCTGCCACTGCGAGCCTCCTACACCCAAGGAAGGGACTCCGAGCCCACAGGCGTGGAAAGGATTGGTAAGGGCCTCCCCCCAGAGCTGACAGACAGCCTGCCCCTAGGGCTGCTGTCCTGAGCGCAGACCTCTAGTCGCCTAAACTGTGAGGCAAGGCCATCGATTAAAGCCATCACTTGTGGTAGTTCTGTTCAAGCAGCCCTTAATAACTAAGATGACATCACGCACGCTCGAGGGGCAGCGATAAAGAGGAAGACCCTGGACAGGGAGGACGGACGCAGTGGCTGTGACGAAGGGCTGAAGCGCAGGAACCACTGGGAGGAGGGCGCAGGACCAGCCACCATGTTTCATTCTGTTGCCGAATGAGCGCTGACATGACAAAGCGAAGACAATGCCTTACCATTCCACGGTTGGGAGGGGTGGGGGGTGGCAAGGCTAATGCTCCGGCTTATCAGCGTGCTTGCTTAGGTTAAGGGGAGAGCGCTCTGAGGTGAGGAGGGCCAGCCCCTTTTCTGCAGGAAGACTAGCCCCAGAACATACAAGGGGCTTCAAGAAGTTCATGGAAATAGGGACTTGAAAGATACCTATTTTAAATCATTTTATTGGGGGCTCGTACGACTCATCATCCATCCATCCACCATCCAGTCAAGCGCATTTGCACATTTGTTGCCATCATTCTCAAACCACTTGCTTTCTACTTGAGCCCTTGGTATCAGCTCATTTTTCCCCCTGCCTCCTACCTCCCCCCCCCCTCATCTCCCCTTGATATAATATAAATTATTATTGGGGGCTCGTACAACTCTTATCACAATCC